ATCCAGAGGGAAGAGATGTGTTTTCATTTTCATTTTATTTATTTAAATTCAAATAATCCCTCCAGATTTCACTTGGATTATTTTTTTTTTCTGGAAAAATACCCTCCCATATTTTATGAGTAACCCAATAAAAACATTACAAATGAATGCACAGGGTCATTCCTTGCCAACAACAATCTTTTTTCTTTTTCTCTTTTTTTCACACTACTTCAGTTTGCCTCAGCAGAACCATTGGCCAATCAGTTTAGTCACAGAACAGGATCATTTGGGAAGGTTATAAAAGTAAAAGTTTGCTTTAGTGTGCAGAAACAGTGGTAGTTTGCACAGGAAAGTGTGAAAAGAATAATGCTGAGGGCTATAGCTTAAATGTTGTTCCTGCTTTTGGTAAAAGTGAAGTTTCTTCGATAGAAGACCTGGATCATGTGCATTAGTAAGTCCTCAGGCAGTGACAGACAGTTTAACATCAGAGTGCTGCAAGGAAGACAAACAAACCCCCAGTATGTTGCAAAAAAACCCAAACTGTTTAGTACAAAATTTTTGTCATTTTTCTTCTCACAGTCTAAGGAAATAAGTAAGTATTTGTAGGAGGTGGCACCATCTGTATTAAATGAAGCTGATATAGGATGAGAAGAGAAAAAAACCCTTCGTATACCACATTCACTTCAGGAGGTACTGATTCAGATCTGAAAAAGGTGTTCAAAAGTCTGTCTTTTTTCTAATGCTTCTTGTTAATTTACAAGATATTGCATCTCTCAACAAATATTCTTTCTGTAATAACAAAAAGGGCAGTTTTAGTTTTTGTGTTTTAGGCACTTAGCCAGAGGGAGCAGAAAATCCCATGGATTCGTCTCAGACTTCCTTATACAGTTTCTGCCTTCTTTATTTTTCCTACTGTGGCACAGAACACAGTAGGATAAGAAAATCCTACTATAATTATAATTTTCACAGAGAGAAGATCTTCTAGATGCACTTCCTACAAATACTATGAATAGCAGTGGTGCATTTTAATTATACTCACTTACGTCCATGCTCTGCAAACCTTTTTATCATGCACCCCATCCGTAAAAACTTTGTCAGCAGGCACCCCTCTAATATGTATATATTTTTTTAGAATTATATAAATGTACTACTGTACCAATAGATTATGTAAATTATAAAACATATAGAAAAATATAAATTAAAAAATGATGAGATAATAAATATTTCAAAATTAAGTGTACAAAAAATATCTTCTTCCTGCACTGCATTTTGTAGACCACTACTCTCAGCATGGAACTATTTCAATGTCTCAATGGCCGTGATTTTACCTGAATTGGTTCCAGCCTCTCCTCTTTGTTGAGGGGTGAATCTTCTGTTCGTTATCATTCACTGGTCACCTCTGAGCCTGCCTTCAACTGGTTATGGCATAGTAGGGCAGTTTCAGCCAATTAAGTGTGTTTTTTGGATTGTTTTTTTAATTAGGTCTGCAAATCTCTATTCCTTACGTATTTTTGAAGCACAATCATTTAGAAACTACTACACTTTCTTTTACAGCCAAATGAATCTCTTTCCTTCTCAGCATTTATCATCATTAATAATTTACAGACTCACAGCTTATTTTATCGAGATGCCTGTACTTGTATAAATGTGCATATACAAGCTGGAATAACACCACATTTGAACTATCAGTAAGTAAAACAGAGAATGTAAAAGAAAAAAAGGAACCACAAAAAACAAACTCACACCTCGCTATCTGAAATGCTTCAATTGCAGAAATTTGTAAGGGGGAGGTGGTGTGTGTAACAAACTAAACCAACAGTTCTGCATACTTCCTGTGCTGATGGTTCTGCTGCACAGCTCTTTTACGGATTTTGTCACAAAAATAAGTGGCTACCTGCCTGCAATACATGTATGGCAAACTCTACAGAACTGTGAACAACAACATGAAATCTTTTCCCTTGCTACTGTTGGAAGCACCTCAGCATTTCCTATGAGGAAGATTTAAGGAATGGTCCAGATACTGTCGTGACAAATTTCACAGGTGCATTTGAGAAAGGCAGGACCGTAGTAGACCAATGCTCTTTAAAGCAGAACTGGCCAAATTCGAGGCCATGATCCCAGGAGCTGCTCTGAGCATCTGGTTACAGAAGCTTTAGGTTCACTCTCAGGTTCAAAACTAATCAGCACCCGGCGGCTGCATTTTTTCAGACCTGTGTCAAGGGCTGGACAAGATGGGTATCCCAAATGGAAGAACATCACCCAAGCCAAGCCAGTAGCTGTTTTCTTCAGCAGAGAATTTTGTTCAGGAAAAGGGTTTACATGCATCTGGCAAAGTCTGTGAGGAAAAAAATTCTGTGGAAATCTAAAAGAGCGAGGAGAGGATGGAGGCTTTCTCTTGATGATAAAACATCTCACCACATCACTTGGATCTTTGCACATTACGTGCTGACCTTCCTGAAGAGTGTTATGAGGGGAATTTCAATGTACTCAGTATTTTTGAGAGCTTGGCTCTGCCTCAGGGAAGTGAGCTCTGGGAAGAGTAAGACCCTACGTGATGCCCTCAGTGAATCAATATCACAGACTGTAGGATTCAGGTGATCTTCTACTCTAGTACTAATACAAAGAGAATGCATCTATTTCCCAGGGCTCCTGGGAAGAAAAAGCCTGAAACACATTCCTTGAAGTAGAAATAAGCAAAGATGACACAAAACTCACCTCTGCACTGAATCTATCAAACATAATTTCTGTGAACTGTGAGCTACTCCGGCACTTTCACACAAGTCTTGTCTGGAAACTCGCTTTATCTTTTGTTATCTTCAGATGGTGAGAAGATGAATTTTAGCCTGTGCTTTCTTACAGGTTTACAATTACATCTGTCACGTACAAATCACAATGTCCTCAACCCAACCTGATTTTAAAAGTTTTATGAATTTTGATCTGCATTCCCTTCTCTCAGCTTTGCCAGGGAAAGAATAAGCTGGCACATAAATCCATGCTGTAGCTGACCTGTGACAAGTCTCACAGACAAAAAGACTTGCAGCAATAGTATCTGCTCACTTTCAGCACCATGGAAGAGACTTTTACTTTGCCTTGAAAATAAGAATTGTCTTTTAGGCAATCAGGTGCAGGAGATTACTCCTAGAATAACAATGAGGCATTTCACAAATCCATGGAATGTTATTTTTACTCTGATTCACAAGTGACTAACTGAAAAGGGTCACTGCCTCCTACTTAGGAAGAGGACACAGTTATTTTTAAACTGAATGGTTACACCCAAGTTGAGATGGCAAGATGGTTTTTAGCCTATTCTTCCTTACAGGTTCACATTTACATCTGTGGCATACAAATCAGTAATCTAATCTGGGGTGTTTTTATACACCTTGATCCTTTTTCAGAGTTTGTGATGGCTGAATTGCACTTGCTAAGTAAATCCTTACTCATTCCATTAAAAATAGTCAGCTAGAGTCCACTGGTGCACTACTGATAGGAGGGCAGTTGTATATAACTAGCTCCTTATTAGACATCAGCACATATACACAAGAGACAGTGCCCACCCAAATATCCTTCCATCCAGCAGCCAGTTTTTAGTAGCAGCTGGCTACTTTTCCAGGTGCCTGGAATTCTACCAGGCACCTGCTGCACAGGAGCACATAACCTGAGCACTGAGAGAGTGAATCTGAGTGCAGCCAGAGTGCACTGGAGGGACTGATTTGCTGCCCATCCAATCTGCAGTTGCTCTTTGCCTGTGGAGACACACACAGATGCAATCTATGTGCCCAGGGCTGGAGCCTGCACCAGTAGGCAATTTCCTGAAAGCTTTGAGAATCCCGAAGAAGCGCCTGGTGTGTGAACATGCAGGTGGGAGAGAGTGGAAGGAGAAAATTAATTTATCTGCAGAAGAGGGGAAGGATGATGACGACCAGTAGTAGAGGTTTCAAATTAGTATGTACTGACAAATCTGTAATGAATTCAGTAGCTTAAAAAATGAGAATTTCTGTTTGATTTATGCAATGCTGAAAGGGCTGTCTGTAAGGTAAGTCACAGCTGAAGCAATACAGATACTACAAATGAAAGATGAAGGAAATCAGAGCTCTTTAAGGGAAGCAAGCACTGTAAATAAGAACAGCCCAAGAGCCATGCAGCCTGTGCAGTCAGAAGAAGAAGGAACAAACTACTGCTCTGGAGTCCAGGACTGTGGCTGATAAGGAAGTCTGTGAGGGGGATGGGAGCATCAAGTCAAGTTTCAAATTACAGAAGAATATGTGACACTCTGGAAAACTGTTCTCTAAGTTTCTAACACATTAATCGAGTTGGGTGTGGAGACTCCATGTCTAGGGGAACTGAAGGGACTGCAGGGCAGGAGGGGTGCACTGGCAGGGCAGCAAAGAGCCTGGAACTGATACAGAACAACCAACTACAGTGCAGAAAGGATATAGTAGTTTTAAGTGTTTCTCCTTGTATGTTTTCATATAAGATAACTCTCAACAGAAAACAAGAACAATAAATGAACAAGTAAAGTAAAAAACTCCAAGCCTCAGGAAAGTTGAACTTGCCATGACAAGCAGTTTGTACAAAATATTTTGAGTATAGATAAAGAATGTGACACCCAAATTCACTGTTCTCTGACTCCTTCTGAGCTGGTACAATCTCAAATCTCTGCAAGCTACCAATATCCTGTGCTAAAAATAAAAGGTTCTGTATCTTGAAAACTACATTCCCTCCCCCAAAAGAAAAAAAAGCAAAAACTGAACCTCGTTTGCTTTCATGGGCAAATGCAAAATCGAGATAAAAACAGTAAAATTAAACCTGATTTTTAAAAAAAGCTTCAAGTGTTTATTCTGAAGACAAGGTTTCAACTAATCAGAGACTCTTGTTGCTTGTTTGTTGCCTATGCGGTTGGTTAAAAGTATATAAATTATCTCCCCACAAAACCACTGTTCTCCTCCTCCCTCCCTCCTCTCCTCCCCCCTCACTCTATAAAATGTTTTTAAAGACCTTGAAGGGAAGGGCAGGGGAGCTCAGAGCCTCCCTCAGAGCAGGGATGAGAACAGCCTGGCCAGAAATGGAACTCAGCCAGCTCTCATCTGTGTCTACAGTCACCCCCAGCTATGAGTACTACTACGAGGACAGCTGCCAGTATCAGCACCTGCAACATATGTCTATTTTCCTCCCTATCCTGTACACTGCTGTGTTCCTGGTGGGCATTGTTGGCAACGCAGTCCTGATCGTAGCCTTGGTCTTCAAGCGGCAGGTCCAGAGGCTGATTGACGTCTTTATCATCAACCTCGCTGCATCTGACTTCATTTTCCTCATCACGCTGCCATTCTGGGTGGACGAGGAGGTGTTGGATGGGAACTGGAGGGTAGGATCTTTCCTCTGTAAAGCTAGTTCCTATGTCATCTCAGTCAACATGTACTGCAGCATCCTCCTCCTCACTTGTATGAGTGCTGACCGATACCTGGCTATCATGCACCCCTCTATCGCTAGACGGATCAGAACAAGATCCTATTCCAGAGCACTCTGCATCTGTGTCTGGTTGTTATCCTGCTGCTTGGGGACGCCAACCCTTTTGTCTAGAGAACTGAAGAAGCAATATGGAAAGACTTACTGCACAGACAAAGCCATGACAGAAGCCAAACAGATTGCGTCGCTGATGCTTTTAATCCTGGCCTTCTTCTTCCCACTGTTGAGTATCTTAACCTTTTACTGCTCTATCACCAAGAGACTCTGTGTGCATTATCAGAAGACTGGGAAACATGATAAGAAATTGAGAAAATCCATCAAGATCGTCTTCATTGTAGTGGTGGCTTTTGTTGTCTCCTGGGTTCCCTTCAATCTGTTCAAGCTTATGGCCATTCTTTTGGGACTCCTGAAGCAGTCTGACTGTTTTTCCAACATGGTTGCCCAACTGGGCATGAAGGTGAGCAACCCTTTTGCTTTTGCCAATAGCTGTGCCAACCCCTTCATTTATTATTGCTTTGACAGCTATATCCGCAGAGCCATGCTCCAGTGCCTGTGCCCACGGGTGAAAATCAGCAGCAGCAACAGCTCTGATACTCTGGACACTCGCCTCAGTCATTCCTTATCCAATTTTGGGGCAGGGGAGTATGCTGCTAGGAAGAGGAAGCGCTCTGTGTCCCTGTGACAGGGAACTGGGACTTCTCTCTCCAAAGATAGCAGGAAAAGAAAAAGAGAAAGGAGCAACACAGACAGAGGTGCAAGTGTAATGCAATCAGCGCTTCAGGTGGAAGGACTTACCCTGGAACCCCAGCACAAATGCTACAAGCAACAGAAAAGAATCGTGTGATTCAATCAAAGCCGCTCCAAGAAAAGCTCTGAACTTAAATGTATATAGGTTTTTATTTTGTGCAACAAAACCAACACAAGTGTTTCTTTTTGGTTCCTAGCGTACCCACAAACATGTCACAATGTTCTCAAACTAACCTAATCAATTCTGTTTTTTTGGAGTTTTTCTGAATTTAGAAATTCAATGTTTTAATGAATTTGTGTGTTACCAGTTCTTATCATTTAAGTCCTGTGCATTTTAAGTCTCTGCTTCTTATTATGGCATTAAATCTTTAGTTTTAATAAAAATGAGTAAAGTGTCTAGCCCCTGTGATTTTAGTAAGAAAGAAGATAACTTGAAGGCAGAGAAACCAGAAGACAAGCAAAACAGGTCCTGCATTTAACCTTTTTCTTAAAGGAAAAAGACCATCAAAAGCACATTTGTGCTTTTTTAAGACTTTTTTGAGGACCTGACACAATTTCTGACTGCTTGGGTCAGAAGTAAGGAATCAGTCCCTCCTACTAAGGAAAAGGACACGGTGAGTTCCAGGGTGAATGGTTACACTCATGCAAATCTACTAAAAGGCTTCAAAGAAAAGACAGTTATACCAGCTAATGTAATTAATGAAAAACAGAGAAATGGGTAAAGCCTGAAGTCCTGACTACTGTCTGGACAGCAAAAAAAAAATAAATAAAATTGGAGTCTGAATGACGGAAGGGGCTTCCCTCTGATGTAACTACAGCACGAGTACCATTCACCATAGCTTTTATTTTCACACCTCTGTATTTTCTAAACATCTGTAAATGAGAATGACTATTTTGAGTGTTACAAATAAATCCTGGTATTTGCATTCTTTATTGATCCTTGCAGTTGAGCTGTGTTGTGCACGCAGAGAAATGAAAGCAGATCTCACTCAATAGCAGTGCAAACCTAGAAACCAAGGCATGGACATCTTGCCCAACTCCCCAGCCAGTTCTGTACTGGACTCATTGGGTAATGGAACAAACCCTCACTGGAGCAGGTGGAGAGCTGACACTGCAGGATCCCTCGAGGCAAAAGTATCTTTCAGCAATTGCTGGTGGCACTGTGCTCTCTGGCACCCAGTAAGGTACTGGGACATGTGCCTGGGCTACAAGGGGGGTATTACAGAAACACACACTAGCTCTTTGCTCTCCCCTCCCCTGCAGTTTTTTCTCCACCACTACCTCTTCTAGAAGATTTTGATTTTCTTTCTAGACATAGCTGCCAAACTCCTTTTTCAGCCTTAAAATTGCATGAAAAGCACCAACTGTGTTTTCAAACCTTCCAGTGTTTGAAAATCAGACCAATGTCAGTTCAAATTTTAAAGTTATTTGCAGTAATCATCAAAAACTACTGTCTCTTCTCAATCTCTTATCTTCTCTCTACCTTTAGTGGTGTATAACAAGAGACTTATATATATTTTTTTTGCAAAAATTAGCCTAAGATTTGCATTTCAACTAAGCTATGATTTTTATTACAAAATAATTCAGTAAGTCAGCCTAATTCATTATTTCCTCAATTCCCAGCCAAAGCTGTACATCATCTTTGTAAGATATCTATCTATCTATCTATCTATCTATCTATCTATCTATCTATCTATCTATCTACAAGACTTTAAATAATTCTGCTGGGGCTTCTGTTTTCTTTCTTTCTTTCTTTGTTAAATACTTCAAAATACCAGATAAAGTCGGAAAAATGACTAAGGAAATCTACCAAGATCTCCTGCCTCAAGCTGTAGTACAGGCATTTGGCAAATAATAAACTTGATAAATATTGCTACGCTTGAAGAGAATCACATATAAATGCCACAGCAAATGCTCCACATGAGCAAAAACAAAAACAATAAGGGCAACTAATTCAGCAATGGAAAACTCACCAGATTGTTTTAGACTTTCATCCAAAAGAGTATACTTTATATTCTTCTATTTGTCATTTTCATAAGTGTAAACATTATTTTCAATTATTTTTTTCAAAGAAAAGACAACCTATGCTTGAACAAACTAACTTCTCTAATTTTTACTATTCCATGTTAATACTGATTGTTTTTTAGCACTAAACAGCATAGGATGATACCAAAATTATTGTGATTGAAAGTACTTAACCTGGTAGGCTTGAGTAATATAACAGGATGCCTATTTTATGCATGTTAAAAGAATTTAATGACTGTAAATTCGTTTGCTATGTGAAATGGAAATGGTGCAATTCTGATATGACACCTGCCAAAGGTCTTGGTAAGTAATTTGGATTGTTGGGTGTTTTTTCTCCCACTTCCATTATTTTAAAGTAAATTCAATGTGATTGCTGCTAAGAAATATGGTTTGGCTTTTTGGAATTGAACTTCTGCTTTCATTGTCATGAAAAAGTAGCAAAGCATTACTAGAAAATCTGTCAGCAGATCTGGATGGGAACATTCATCCGCCTATCCCACCACAAACATTTTCATGACTTCAGAGATGCTGTTGTACTGCCTTGGAATGAAATCAAGATCTTTTGAGGTTTTTAATGAAAACAACTACACCACCACTACCACCCCCAACAATCTAGAGGTTGGTGCACTTTCATGAGAAGTGCATAATCAAGGCTGAAGTGCCTCTGCTTCTTGATATAAATCAGGACCCTGTTAAATGCATCTCTTGGTCTCCATTTTGGCTCAAGTGAATCAGCATTTTTTCAGAAGTAGAGTATTTCATCTCAACACAAAGAAAAATCGTATCCAGACCTGATGCTTCCTTTAAATAGGCAAAGAATTTTTGCAACCTTAATTTCAGCACCAGATGTGCTAACACTGACAACTGCACTGCAGCTAAACGGCACTTTGAGTTGCAGGGAACTGAGGAAAAAGTCACACAGGGAATAGCTTCAGATGGAATATAAGCAGTGCCTCGGGTTTCAAATAGGGTGAATTACAAAAAGAACATCTCCTGACTTTGCAAAGATGTTGCAGCGATATGTTTGTTGACTACTGCACAGGAATAGTAAGGTCGTTTACAAAAGAAGGGGTTTTTTTGGGTGTTTGCAAGGCATACAGTACAAAGAGATGTCAGCTCAGCGGTGGGGACACTTACATGTGCTTTTAACAGTTATATACTATTGGAATACTAATTTGTTATCCCGGTATGATCACTTACATTCATGAGGTCAGCAGGAACTTCTGAGTAGATTTACAAGCTGTGAGCACAGTTCATTACATGTCCCAAAATTTCTAACAGAAACGGTTGGACTCAATGATCTTAAAAGTCTTTTCAAACCTAAACAGTTCTGTGATTCTTCTCTTGTTTAAAAGGCTCCACCCGGTTAAGAGGCACATTACATGGCCGGTGAAGAACAGAAAGCAGTGACCGCAAAGCCTGCAATTAGTGCACTTCAAGTTTCATTAACAGTCCAATCACCTGCTCACTTCGCAGATGTGGGTGTTCGATATCCTGCTGGAGTCTTCCTGCAAGTGACAGGAGGCTTTGGAGTACTCCAGTCTCAGTAAAAGTCAGAGGGAGTTTGGCTCCAAACATCTGAGCAGCTAAGATCTGAGTTCATAAAGAATGCAAAATATAGGAGATGAGAAAGCAAGTGCATTGGAAACCAACAGAATTCAAGATGAAAGACAGTCTTCCACCTGTGAGTTGGTAAAAAAGTCCTGCCCAAGGCCAAGCTGCTCGGGTTGATACTTATTTTTAAATATGAATTGAACTGTAGATTTTATTTTCCCAATTCACCTCACCCATGTTTCTGTAACAGATTGCAGCAGCTTTGGAAATCAAGGCCACATGTTATGGTTTGAGAGCACGCAACATTATCAGTATTGGTCACCTAAATAATGCATTGTGACCAAAATACATATTTTCAAACTTCAAAACAGTTTCCTTATTAGTAAGAGACCACATTCTTAGTCAGAAGCTCCCACTAAGTTAGTAAGTGAACATACTTCCTCTACTGTTTACTTTTCACATTTTCTAGACCACATGGATTTTTACAAGAGTCATCTCAACAACAGATCTCAAAAAAGAAGAGGCAAATGTTTCTCTTGAAATTTGGACTGTATTTTGCTGCTTTGGGGACTAGAGCAGGGCACAGGGAAGGTAAGGTAAGAATCTGTGCTGAAAGAGAATGCTTCCCCCAAAGTGATTAGTAAATTCAGGGGCTTTCACTTGTAAATGCCTTGCTTCAGATCCTTTGCAAAGCACTGATATGCAGAAAGGGCTGAATACTCACTTTCTAAACAGCAGGTTTTTCAAAAATAAATGGATTCAATAATATCAGGAAATAACTGGATGCATCCAGAAGTCACTAGTCAATTCTAGAAAAAATCCCACACGTCTGTCTTCTATAGTGCCACAGATATCCCAGAATCTGATGCCCTCTTTCTTTCTACACTGACAAAACTAATTAATATGAATATAAAAAAACAGCTGTTCCCCAAAGGATGCCCTTTCTTTTACCCTCAATCTGAGGCAAAGAAAACCAAGTTGTGAAACTGTGTGGCACTCTGCTCAGAGAATGAAACTTGGTCAGTGGTTTTTAAATCAATCCAAAATTTCAGTCTAGCTTTAAAACTGCTAAATGTCCAGAAAGTCAGACTTTAAATGCAAGGAGCAGTTTTTTCTACTGAGAAGTGCTGTGTATAAATAAATACCCCACAGATGTTTGCCATCTATAGTGTTATGCACCTGACTTGACCACTCACTTGACTTCCCCCTATGCACTGCCTGAACAACTGTGTGACCACAACCACCATTTCCCCTGTCACTGACTCTTCACCCTCCCTCCTCTGGGAACCACAGAAACATCTACCCAGGCCTCACACAGAGCAAAACATTCAAACCATTAAAAAAAAAATTTAAAAAAAAAAAAAAAGAGAGAGAGAGATGTGCATATTTGGTTTTGCCTGTCTTTGAACCCATGGGAGTTACCTTTCATGGGTATAATCACACCACCTAAAGAAGTGTTGCAGGTAAGAAGAAAAGCTTGACAGCTTTCAAGAAACACATGTTCTCCTTATAACCAACCAGGGCATTATGGATAAAGGGGTGCTAAGAAGCACAGAAAGAGCAGGAGGACATTTCAGAGCAGAGCTGCTGCATGGAAAAAGGACTCAATTTAACTAAAGAAGAGAATAACCCTTGAACAACCCTTATAATCCCATAGCTTCCAGGACTAACATTTTGGCAACATGCTTTGATGGTGCTGTGGCTCACACATTTCGGTAGCCACTTTAGAGACTGAAGCCATCCTGAGGCTATTAAAAATGTCTGAAATCCCTGCTGAGGTGTGCATGCTCTTCTCCTGTGGCTGCAAAAAGGTGATAAACTGTACTGTAAAAAGGCAAAGGCTGAAGTGCCTGCTAACAGCTGCAGAATACTACTGGGTTTTAACATAGAGCATCTCATGTTCATAGAAAGGACAAATATGACATGCAGCCTTCCTCCTTTTTAACTGAAAAAAGTAAGCTTGTATTCTGACTCACACTTTAACACAAGTGGCATTACCAGCATGGTTGGAGAATACTGCAGGCAGTCATCAGGTTCACTAAGAGCA